CCAGGAAGACTCTTAAAAATTCTGGCAATACTTTAGAGGCATCTTTTACTAAATCCAACAATAGGCCTTTGCATATATCCACCAGTAGGTGGAGCAGACAACATAATTTATTACCTAAGAACAAGGGCAGGGGAATGAAAGTCAGTTTATTTGGAATAAAACAAATCTGCAAATGAGATTTTCTTCAAAGGAAATATATCTTATATGTGTTAGATTTAGTTTGACTAGTTACTGAATCAGAATAAATAACTTTATTAAGTAATCAATCTTTAGAGAAAGATAAATTAAATTTACAAACAGAAGCAATATTTGCATTTTACTTTATCCAAATCAACCAAAAATTAGCCTTCCTTTCATAAAACTTTTACAGGGACAAAGATTTTTTGATGTGTTCATTTAATAAGGGTGCTAAACCCAATCCTGTTTTACAGGTGATGGGGTGCATAACAAATAGTATTTTCTGGGAAATATAATTGACTAATCCTATTATGTCTGTAGCAACAAATTAACCTTATTACTACTAGTAAATGGTGATTGATTATTTATGCAAATAAGTTACCATATTCAGCTTTCTGATTGAAATAAACATATACAAAAGGTGTTTTAATATGACTCGAACTTTTTAATTAATAAAACCCCGAGGGGTCTATTAATTCACTCATTGCAATATTAGTTATTTACTTGTGTAATTTCTATTAGCGCTAACATACTTGTTTGAATAAAGATGAGATAATTAATACCATCAAAAATTAGTAATAGCTTTTGGAAATATTTTAAGGTATACATTGAATTTGTACTAAATATAGGCTTAAACCTGACTTTAAAACTTTGCAATCAGCATATGAGTATATGAGTATACCAGCATAATCATCCTAAAATTACTAATACATTAAAAAACTCATAATCTTACACCATCTATATCTGAATTCACAAATACAATTTTGACTTACAAAATTATCTTCTATGAAGCACTGTCAAAATTAATGTTTTATTTCTACTCATCTAAAGTAAGCTATTAGAACAATAAAAATGTAATGTAAAAATTACTATTCTATAAACCATACTAATATCATTCCTAATCACCAATCGCCAATATAAATCATCAATATAATGTCCCCCTCTTTGCTAAAAATGCTATTAGATTTATTCCTTTTAAGCAGATCAATAAAGCTTTTCCTATCCTGACATACTTTTTATAAAATTATTCAAACTTGAATATTTATTTGGAGAATTTTCAAATATCTGCAGGCACTGAACGTTAAAATTGATACAAATCTTTTAAAATAAATATTATTAATTCTTATTTGGCTTTTATTTGTACTTAAAGGTCTACAAATACAATTTGAAATCAAAATCTTAAAACAAACAATGAAATTAATTTGTAAACAACCAAGTAAGGAATATTTTAAAATCTGCAGCTTAATTTCTCCCCAATAGCCCAGACATGCTGTAAAAATTACTAACAACACTCAGATTGAAATATGTGTCTTTTAGTCTTTGAATCTTCCTTAGGCTCAGGAAGGAAGGTTATGTTGTTTTTTATTAAAATAAAATAGCACATCAGCAAAATCATAAGTATAAATAGTTATTAATTTCAGTGAGATCGCCTATATAAGCAGTAGTGAAAAGTTGGCAATTTCCATCTACAAAAAAATTGACATTAGACTGAAATTAGGCTCAGCGCTTTTTGTGGTTAAAGATTAAATAGTTTATATTTATACTAAAGTCCCAGCACACTACTATTAGATGGCAGGTACTCAAAAATATTATTGGAAGTGATTAACTGGTGAATTTAAGATTCATGTTTATTGTATTTATTAAATCTTAGTGTTGCATACTTTTGTTTAGATGGAGACAGTTTGTATTAATAGTTGTGACTTGTAGTATGTTTTAAAGGTCAACCTTTTTATATCATGATGAAAAAATACTGATTAAAAGCTAAGTAAAGCAAATCTGTTGGGATATAAGGAATAGAACATATGAACTTTCCAGTATCATTCTGTCAGTACAACTAATCCCTTGAACAAAATGAACAGATGAGACTAAGATGACACAGCTATTCTATTTTACCACCACACACACAAAAAGTTTGTCTTGGAAACAAAAGTGGCTCCATAGGTTCAAAGGGTTGTCTTTTCATCTCTAGTTACCTGTGATCAAATCTTAAGATCACTATGATGAAGTTTACCAACTGGCCAGGTCCAAATGAAAATCCCTGTTATTGTTGTAATATTTCTCTCCAAGGGAAGCAATTTGAGAATACAGTTTCACCTGTAATGTCCTCAGGTCTGTGAAGTCAAGTGTCAAATGGAGGTGGGGGACACCAGCATAGAGATTTCTAACTAATTTTTTTATTAATAACTAAAGGAAAGCCAAGAAAGGAAATGAGAAAATGAATGCTTCCAACTGGTAAGATTAATGGAAGAAAATTAAAGAAGAAAACCTTAGGTTTATCTGTGGTTAAATTCTAATAATATGATTGTTACCATTTACTGAATGCCATCTAACGGTCTGGCACTGTTTTAAATATATGACATTTAATCCTCATAACTTTCTTCCAAGATGGGTTTCATTATCCCACAAATGCAGAGGGAAGCAGAGGCTCAGAAAACTGAAGGTAATCTCCTAATATATTACCCTTACTGTGAGAGCTGGGATGTCAACTCAGCTCCGTCTGATGACAATATTTGGGTTCTTTCAACCTTGCCATAGGGCCTCAAAAATAATTATTTTATTGGATGCCAAGGAGTTTTGGAGACTAGGGATCACTAAAGTAAAGTTTACACACATTGATATTATCAGCAGCTTATATGGTATAAAGAAGGAGAAAAATGCATTGACAGCTTGTATTTGTTAATACAAATATACTTAAAACACAATGGTAATATCTGAAAATCCATTAAGGTCTATGATTCAAGTGTTTTAGTCAGGTTTGTGAAAATTCTTTGTCAAACCAGGTGCTTAATTTAAAAAATGAAATGAAATTAAATTAATTAAAGAAATAATGCATAGAAAGTCTCTACAATACTGTTTGGCACATGATAAGCACTCCATAGATATTTGCTGTCAGATTATTTTTATTAGTTAAAAAAAAAACTGAGTCTTCATGGACTTTCTAAATAATTTCACTAGATACTCAGTATCTCAACAACCTTGGATAAAACAGGATTAACAAATGTTCAGTTAAATACAATTTCACTATTTTAGGCCAGGTGTGGTAGCTCACGCCTTTAATCCCAGCACTTTGGGAGGCCGAGGTGGGGGGATCATTTGAGGTCAGGAGATCAAGAACAGCCTGACCAACATGGTGAAACCCCACCTCTATTAAAATACAAAAATTAGCCTGGCGTGGTGGCGGGTGCCTGTAATCTCAGCTACTCTGGAGGCTGAGGCAGGAGAATTGCTTGAATCCAGGAGGCGTAGGTTGCAGTGAGCCAAGATCACGCCACTGTACTGCAACCTGGGCAACAGGGTAAGACTCTTTTTCGCTCCCTCTTAAAAAAACAAAAATGATTTCACTATTTTAAAAAAATGCTTTCTGTATTACAGTACCCATCATAAGTATACTTAGCACAACTAGAACTCATATTAAGAAAGATTCAGAGTATAAAGATGTTCAGAGTTACTAGGATTAACAAATGTATTGTAAAAAATAAAATACCAGATTTAAAGAAATAAGGGTGTTAATAGTACGCTTAGTTTAATGAAAGTTGAAATGACTAATAACTAAAGTTAAAAAATTTCTGCGAAAAGGAATTTTTTATTTGAAATTCTATATAAAAATGTAGCACTTCAATTATACAACTAAAACTGTTACTACTATAGATTTTAAAATTAAAATATTTTGACTTTTAATTTTTAAAAGTATCTTTAAATTATTGCCTAAGTATTTGAAGTCCAGTGACCTTAGATTGCCGAGTGCCATGTCTATTTCTACTAGCTTTGTATCTCTAACTCAGCCACGTAACACCTCTGAGTTTGTTTCCTTACCTGTCACATGAAGATAACTCAGCTACACAAATCCAAGTAAATATGAAGATAGTCACCATGATTAAAAAGTATTGATATTTAGACTACCAAGCAGAATCTAGAGATAGAGGGAGATCTATGTTCCAAATGTACATCGCCAGCCCAGGATTTAATATACTTTTTAAATTTGGATGCCTCTAAGGATGACATTCAGTCTTGGGGCTCACCTTCACCACTGGGACTTGACTTGCCCCTGCCTGGAGACATTCGACTATGTGACTCTGGCCAAAACTACAACATAGGACTTGAAGGTCTGTGAGAAAAAATAAAAACCCAGAAACTGCTAGTTTCCTGACTAGCTCCCTAGTAACAAAACACATCTCAACCCCCAAATTCATGTTTTTTTAAAATCGTATTTTTTTTTTGAGACTATTCCACATGCCATGTATTCTTTCCTAGTAACCAGGACAAAATCCAAGGTATTGACATTTTAGCAAGCATTGTAAAATAAATGTCTAAGTATTCCAAATTTCATGCTTATATTTCTATAAGAAGATGTAACTGCTGAAGCAATTTTGTTAAAAGCTTTACCTGAAAACTTCCATCAAAATTTAGAAAGGGTCAAAAAATGGTTTTAATCTCAACATTAGCTCAATTAAAAGAGAAAACATGAAAGCCACTTCAGCCTAATAACTTGTTAGTTCTTGATCAATTCACAACACAACAATAAGCCATTCAGAATGAGTTTTGAAAGCGAGGTTATGCCCTTCGTGTTGTGTTATCACCGTGGCAGATCACACTGCTGACTTGGACCTTTCTGCCAGCATCGCAGCGGCTGCCTGTATGAAGCTGCTGTCACAGACGAGTCATGGTGCCTGCACACACCTACACAGAAGCACGAAATTGAACTCGAAGTAGTGTCTTTGTGATATCTTTTCAACAAGTCATGTCCCATTCAGCTTACTAGTTTATCTCTGTCAGGCTAGGGGCCCAAGTGGCTTACAGGAGCTGTCAGGGACAGGTAGACCAACCTGCTTTGTGCTGAGGAGGTAATGCATCTTTCGGGCTTGGTAATCTCTTTTCTTCTCTTCCTTTTCGAGGTTAGCTTTCTTCTCTTCTTTTTCTTTCATTTCTGCAAACTCCTCCAGTGCCTTCCTGCATCAAAACCATCTGTAGTTATTTATGATACTATGTGTTCACATTTTAATTCTTTCACTGATGATAAATCAGTTTTTTTTGAGGGGCAACCATCATCCATATCCATCCAAATCAGTGGTGTAATCTATCTCACCTGCATTTTCTACAAGAATCTTTGCAAAATTTAGAAAGCATTTATGTGATATTTCGGTGATTAAGTTTTTGAGATCAAATGAGTATATTATAATTAATTCAAAGCTGAGAAAATACTCATATCAAATGCAAAGTGTGTCTTACTAAATTATCAGGGTTTTTTGCTTTAAGATTAACTTTTTTGGACATACTTAAATCTCCCAAGAAAGCACCTGAGCTACTGTTTTCCCTTACATTTTGGATTTGTATTTTCAAATCTCTAATCATTTATTTTGCATACTAACTAATGGCCTAATTTTAAAAATGTGACAGGTTTTATACATACCCTTAATTTATTGTAGGTTTACGTCAGTTGACAGTTCAAATAATACCAATAAGATTACATATATTATCTTGCACTTCAAACAAAGGCTGACATTTTGTCCAATTATGTAGATAATTCTAATAAAAGCTAAATCAGGTGAGAAAGTGCAAGTATTTTCTAGGCATAATAAATTCTATTAAAATAATGAAACTTTTCATTATTTATGTGTATCTAAGAAATATAAACAAAAAAAGCTTTTAAGTATACTATGTGAAAACACCTGCTAAACAGATTATGATATCAAATATGGAGAAAAATAAATCCTTTATTTTCAAGGAAAAACTTAACTCTTTGCGTTAAAATAATGTTTTGAAATTGTACTATACTTTTTTTTTAAAAGTAGGTATGTAACTTAGTGTCTAGTTCTGTAAGTAAAGTTTTAAATAAATTATCTGAGCATTTTTCTCAAAGATAACTGAGGAAAGTAGAGGAAAAAATTCAAAAAATAAAAGAGATTCTCCTTTCTACTTCAATGTCTAGAAATATTTTTGTTGCAATTTTCTGTTAAAGGCTACCAATACAATACTTCATACAAGGTTACTTATGAAACACACTGACGTTTAAAAATCACCAAGCTATGCTATTGCAGCAGAGCAATTTTTTTCAACATAAGATTAAATTGCAAAATAAATGAATTACTTGGAGTGGCATGGCCCCCATTTTGCCACCCTTCTCTTGAAAATTGCTTATTAATATGAAAAAAGGAGTCAGAAAATAGCCTGTTTTACTTTATGCATAGTATTTTGGGGGCTTCTGCGCCCACAGAGCCAGGCTAGCTGCACGTTTAGATTGTGTTGGCAAGCTGGTACAATGACCTCTCTGACCTGCATCTCAAGGCTATTATTAATCGCTAAGTAACCTGGTAAAGCCAAACAAATTTGTTTCCATTGAAAGGATCTCTATCTGTGTCTGAGAATTTGTTCTGTACCAAACAAACCTCATTAACTGTGTCCATTTTTGACAAAGAACCAGGAGTTAGAGGGATTGGTGACCTTTCTTTGTCCTTAAAGTACAAATTTCAAGGCAGTTACATATGAATAAATGAGAATTTTTGCTAGGAAAAATAACAATCATATGTTACATTAAAAGTGAATATATTATTTGTTTTAATCTTTGCTATTGTTATTATGAAAAAAATAAAAATTAACCAGAGAACTACCACTGTAAAGATAATTACTCAGAAATGCATGTATCTAATTTTATATTACTCTAAATGTAAGTACAGTAATTTTCTAAGCAATCATAAAAATAAAAAAATCTACAGGGAAGTTTGTGCTCTATAAATAATTTAATAAGTATGAAAAGGTCTTATATAAGAAGAAAGGTCTAATATAATTGAAAACATATATGAATGGGTAAGGTACAAAGATGTACATAGAACTTGGACACAAAATCAAAAGTGTAAGTTATTTTAAGTAGTAAAAAGAGTCCATCTTCAGAATATGGAAATGTAAAATAAAAACAGTATGTATAGAGTGGCATGGCACAGCGAACTAAACCTGTGAGATAATGGAAAAGAATGTTACTTTCCAGTGTATAAAGAAAACACGTAGGAAACACTAAAAACACTCATCTGCTGTAATCTCAAAACACAAAAGTAGTTAATTTAATACATTCATCCAATTATTGAAAAAAATCAATTCTTAGGTTCCAAATTGATTTCTTGTAACATTTGAGAGTGTGTGGATAACAAGGCAGTAATATTTTTGTCAAACATTCTTTGTTGAACAATGAAGTAGGAATTGCTAAATAAATTATTCTTGATATATAAATTTTTGTTATATCAGCAGGGTGAAGATACTGTTCAGTGTGCAGGATGCAATAAAAATTAGGATCTCATTAAAAATAAAAGGATGGAAACCATTCTAACTAGGATTCCCTACAAAATTATAAAAATTACCTATATTTTTAATGTGGAGGTTTTTAAAATGCAGTACTTCTAAGACATTTAAATCGATCGTTTTTCTGTTTTTACATTTCAGATGTATTTTCCCATTTCTATCCTGAAAGAAAAAAAGTCCTCTGATATATATGGTATAGCTTTTACTAATTACTCTATTTTGCAAATATAGAAACACATAAAGAGATTAAATGACCTACTGTGATTAACAAATAAGGTAATGGCAGAAACGGAATTAGAACCTCTGTGTCTGCAGATTTTCTAACTCCAGACCAGGCTGTCATCTTCCTGACACAAGAAATATTATGCTGAATATATTTTTATTGAATTAGCCATGCATATTTTCTTTTATCTTATAATCCTGTCTTCTACCATATAAAGAAACTTGAATAAGTTCCAAGACTTTCTGCCTTGTTTTCATATCTATAAAACATTTTCTGATATAGTTTTAAAATAAAGATAAAAATTACTGAAACTCTTGAAAAGCTTTACATATTTGAATGTATTTTGTTAATGATATTTATAGGGATAATAAAGTATTTACATATTCTAATAATGATAGCAATAATAATAGCCACAATATAGTGGAGTGATTAAGAGCATAGACTCTGTTTTTGTTTTGTTTTGTTTTTTTGAGACGGAGTCTTGCTCTGTCACTCAGGCTGGAGTGCAGTGGCACAATCTCAGCTCACTGCAACCTCTGCCTCGTTGGTTCAAGTAATTCTCCTGCCTCAACCTCCGAAGTAGCTGGGATTACAGGCGCGTGCCACCGCGCCAAGCTAATTTTTGTATTTTTCGTAGAGATGGTGTTTCGTCATGTTGGCCCCTACTGACCTCACGCAATCCACCTGTCTTGGCTTCCCAAAGTGTTGGGATTACAGACCTGAGCCACTGCACCTGGCCAAGAGCATAGACTCTGAAATGGCACCTGGTTATAACAGCTCTGCTATGCTCCTTACTAGCTGTTTACCCTCTGAGCTGCAATTTCCTCATTTGTAAAATGTAAATATATTAGTATTAGTATCTTTTCCATTAAATTATTGTCAGAATGAGATAAGTTAATCAATGTAAAGTGCTCAAAATATTGGCTGGTACACAGTAAGGCGCTATGTAAGTGTTAGCTATTTATTGAACATTTACTATGAGCCTAGTACCAGGCTACATGCTTTAACTACTCAACTGGATATGCTTTCTCTAATTCCCTTGGTTGTCTTCTCCTATCTCTCTCCTGGTGAGAGTGTATTTTATGAATGAAATCCCACAATGCAGAGCATAGAATATGGCTTCCTAAGAGGCATGGGTTATGGGGTAAACCCTGATAAGTGGAAAATAGGAGACAGAAAAGACCATGCAAATAAATTTCTCCTTTCCCTGTCCTCCACCTACTTATCTGAGTGATGGTTTCTCCTTGCAAAACTGAAAATAACCTGTGTGGCTAAAGACAGCAAGCATGGCCAGGTGCAGTGGCTCACACCTATAATACCAGCACTTTGGGAGGCCAAGGCGGGCAGATCACCTGAGGTCACAAGTTCGAGATCATCCTGGTCAACATAGCAAAATCATGTCTCTACTAAAAATACAAAAAGTTATCCGGATGTGGTGGTGGGCACCTGTAATCCCAGCTACTCAGGAGGCTGAGGCAGGAGAATTGCTTGAACCCAGGAGGCGGAGGTTGCAGTGAGCCGAGATCGCACCACTGCACTCCAGCCTGGGTGACAGGGCAAGATTCCATCTCAAAAAAAAAAAAAAAAAAAAAAAAAAAAGACAACAAACATGTCTGCTGTGCTATATCACATCACTATGGGGCTCTTTGTGAAGCAGTGGCCAGGACTGCAGGAGCTCATCATGTCTCATTCCTACCTACAGAACCAAACCCAAAGTTCCAACTGCCAGGAGTGCTGGCTGCTGACTGTTCACTACTATATCTCACTGGAGAAAATCAGTTCCCCTGCCCCAGGTAGATTTTGTTATCCTGCCCCCAGCCTGGATTCAATCAATGACTGGGAATTGACAGAGTACATAGGCCCAGAGCCTTTGTCTTGGTTTGGGACCAATATAAAGGGCCATCCAGATCCCAGAGCTGAGACCTCCTGATGCAATTCAACTTCTCCCTCAACCTTCCTCCTCCCTTCTCTTAAAGATGTTGCTCCCCAATAAATCTCATGCAACAGATCACTGTCTCAGTGATGTTTCCATCTATGACCTCTTTTTTCTAACCCTTATTGAGCTGGTATTGCTATTTTTTGAGCAAGTAAATAATTCTAAGGTACAACATTAATGTATAAAAAGAGACTGAAGCGGAAAAGATGCTTAGAAGCTATTTGGCACAATACAACTAACACACAATACAAACCTACAAGGCTTTTCAGCATTGACCCCTGCTTCCCTCTCCTTCTCACTTCATATCACTCTCTCCCGGAATCACTATGCTTCAGTCACCATGGCTGTATTTCATTTCCTACAAACCATTTATTTCTACTTCAAGATCTTCACTTAAATTGTATTTTCTGCCTTGGATTTCCTTTACAGCAATCTGAATTCTCCTTTCACTGTTCTTTTCACTCATAAACACCGTAATTTTGGTTTTTTTTCCATATAACT